AAAACAGTTAATTTCTTTGAAACAGGCTTTAGCCTGCTCAAACTAGAGAGCTGCTCTGGCTTCAACATGTGAGAAGTCTGAATAGATTCATTCTTTCTGCTGCTACTGCTACTGGGGCACATTTTTACCACTGACTTTGGTTCAGGGAAAAGTGACTGAATTTTCTGCCCACGACACTGTTACTTACCAGAGCTGGCTCTTTGAACCATAATAGTTATTTGAACAAGAGCAAGAATAATCCCCTTCTTCCCCTCCTTTCCAGGACTTTGCTTAATGACATGACAAACTTACAGCTAGACTTCCATATTCCCGGCCTTCTATGTTAACCAACACCACTATTTCTGCAAGGAGAGGTCTTCCTCCAGTATGCAGACAGTGCTCAAAGTCCAGTGCTTGACATACAGAAGACAGCTTTTCCCCTTCAATCCCCTGACTTGGCCCTGGGCCCAGCCTGCATGCCCTATCACTTTCCTGCCCCAAATTAATTTGGTGACTGGGGCTTCGCCTTTTTTCTTTTGCCGTGGTACAAAGGTCAGAGAGTGTCCTTGTACTCTGCCAGGCAGATTTCTATAGCTTTGAATTTTGAAGAGAAGCTTGAGGATCTTGATTTCTTTATTTCTGTAAAGCCCCTGGGTGAGTTATGCAGTTGTTCCTGATTAATTCTCAATAATATTCAAGCACAGCACTTGAATAATTTGCCATTAAAAATGTAAAGTGTAATCTGAAAGGTCTTCCTGCAACAAAAGTAGTGGAAAATTGACATAAGAAAGATCTAGCTCCTACTCCATGACAATAACATCTGTCACTTATAGTAATTTCCTGATAATAATGAACATGGTTGGTGCTGGGTCTCTGCTCAGCAACCGACAAATAATTTAGATACAAGACCTCAGTAGCATTACGTAAGTGGACAGGTTCAGTTATTCTCAATAAACATGGAAAGGTTAGGCATTTGTTTCACAAGATACTTAGTGTTTGTGAAGTCCTGAAATTCATTATATCTGATATAGCATGGCAGGTAAATTGATAGAAAATTAATTGGAAGACAGTTCCAAACGTAATAGCTCAGTGGAAACATCCAGAATCAATTAACCAAAGTGAAACTCATTTTCATTGGACACACTCTAACCCTGAAAAGGCACTGGAATGTTCAATTAAGCTTTTGAGCCCAATCCTATTCACATTAGCCATGTTTTTCGGAATAGTTACATCTGAAAATTAAGTTATTAACTTGAAACCTAACGGGAAAGGCAAAATTCTAAATACATGTATGACATAGTGGTCTGCGTCTGATTAGACATTATGTTTTCTGGTCACTTAAAATGAAGCTTAAAACTATTTGTTTAGGCAAATAACTCTCTGAAAGTACAGAATTAAGACGTCCTGTTTATAAAGTTGCATGTTGATTTTCTTCTCACTCTTACACATATTAAGTATGTGTCTCTCACATATATATATATATATATTTTTTTCTCCTGCTATTCATCCCACTCTCTGATTTTCTTCTTTACTGTGTATCTGTTTTTGTTATCTTGTAGTAATCTTGTGTTTCCCCATCTAAACTTATTACTAGAGCTTTTTGACAGCAAGATTGATTTCATATAGTTTCATACTTTCAGTGCCCAGAAAGAGCTGCTAAATAAAGCTTGGCGAGCTGAGGTGCTATTCAATCCAAAGATGATCTGAGGCAGACAGGAAAATGGAAGAGTCTTCTTTTTTTACCACATAGTGGTGTGAAGTGAAAAGAAGCTTCCTTGGAATGAAAGGCTATTTGTGGGTCCAAATCCTACCCCTGCCTTTAACTAAATGTGTTTATTCTAATATTTCCTTGGATGGACCCATGGACCAGTCTTTGAAATTCTTTATGCCTCTCGTTTCCCATCATCCAAAACAAACTAAACAAACACAAAAAATCCAGTTAGAACAGTTGAAAATAGACTTTAGTCAGTCATTGGACCCCAAGTTATTGAGTTATGTTGTTACTGGCAGAATGAGATAAGCCCCTGAGTTAGGGAGTCTGTGTATGTTTCAGAGTAGCAAATATATAACAATGTAATCTAATGTTACTGTTTACTATGAACTGTATGCCATGATTTAATGTGGTATAATACAAAGTAAATTAAATACATCAGAAATACATCTTTAATTCAGAGTTCACAGCATGTGGCCCCCTGCAAAAAGTTCCTGTTCCGAAGTGAAAACCAAAATGTTAGCTGCCTTACCCAGGGAAGAAATATCCAAGAAGGATCCCGAAAGAATCTTGGCCGGAGAGTTTTGGCCCTGGGAGCTCATTGAGTTGAATCAGCAGAGTGGAAGAATAGGGAGGTGTGAAGATAAAGGAGTAGCAACTCTGGTGTGGAAAAAAAAAGAAAAATCTTGGGTGTAAGGCAGAAAAGAGACTTCGAGAATGGCAGGGTCCTCAAAAAACTACAAATAGAAGTACCATATGCTCCAACAATTTCACTAATGGGCATTTATCCGAAGAAAAGAAAATCAGTTGGAAAGACACTGTACCTTTAGGTTTATTGCAACGTTGTTGACAATAGCCAAGATGTAGACTCAACCCAGGTGTCCAGTAACGAATGAATGGGTAAAAAGTGCTATGTGTAATAGAATACAATTCAGCCATAAAAAAAGAATGAAATCCTGTCACTTGCAGCAACATGGATAGAACTGAAGGACATATGTTAAGTGAAATAAGCCAGGAACAGAAAGTTAAACACAGCATTATCTCACTCATATAAGGAAGCTTAGGAAAGGATGATCTCATAGAAGTAAAAAGTAGAACAGAGGCTACTGGAAGATGGGGAAGGTAGAGGGAAGGGACACGGAGAGAGATTTGCCAAAGGATACACAATTACAGCCAGATAGAAGGAAAAGGTTATAGTGTTCTGTGCCACTGTAGGGAGACTATAGTTTACAATACTGTGTAGTTTCAAATAGCTAGGAAGATATTGAATGTTCCCAACACTAAAAAATGATAAATATTTGAGATGATGGAGATACTAATTACTCTGATCTGATCACTACACATTATATGTGTCACAACATCACTAGGTATGCCATAAATATGAATAATTATTGTGTGTCTAATAAACAATTTTGAAAACCGAGCTACAAAAAAGAATGAACAATTCAATTGGGCACCCATGTTATAAAAACTAGGTGGAAGATTGAGTAAATGTAAACATAAGAAAAATTAAACAAAAATATTTTCAGGCATTCTCAGACTCTGTGATGAAATTAAATCCATCCCTACCATGATTACTTATGACAATGGCAATAAGTTGACACTGTCTAGATTTATAAACAGATTTATACATAGGGAGAATGGCAACACCCTTAAGACCTTGGCATCCTTCATTGAGGAGAAACAAATTATGTAAACTGAAACAATTTGAATAGATATTTAAATACAACATTTTGGATATAGTTATATCTATGAATCTGAATTCTGAATAGTGTTAATGCCCCAAAGTCCAGAATTTTCAGGAATTCTTTGAGGTTCTTTTTCATCGTTTTTCATTATTTGCAGATAAATAATTAGTTTATTAAATTTGGGTGTTAGTCTCAGAGACCCAAGCATCTCTGTGGGGCAGAAGGGGTCCCCTCTTTACCCTTGAAGCACTATGCCCACATTTCCCACTTTCAGGTATAATGTGGCTTAACAAATGAGTGAATGAATGGATTTCATAGCTATAACACAGAAATTATCTGTCTAGCACCGTTCTTTGTGTTGGAGATACAGTACCAATTGCAGTAGCCCTTGTTGAATGAAGGCTAGGTTAAGGAACTGCCTAAGTGATTTGGAAGAGAACGAAGTGAACATGTTTTAGAAAAAGAGAATTTATATGTAAAGAGTGTACAAGGTCGTGGTGGTGAGACAGCATCATTTATCCAAAGATGGAACTTCTTTTTAAAGGTGTCATAACCATCTGATGCCTCTCATTAGAGTTACCAGGTTATTTAGATTAGAGTACTATTTTACCACTTCAAGTTCTGAGCATTCACTTAGGGTATTCCTGGACACAAATTTATGTATGAGTCCACCCAGGGCTTACAATCCTGTCAGGATAGTGCTTATGGAATGATGTTCTAGTGATCATCTGAATTAGAATCTCCTGCAAGCCTTATTAACTCTTAAGATTCACAATCCTATTTTTGAACCACAGACCGGTATTTCTTGGGGCAAGCTACTGAGTCCATTTATTAGAAGCTCTCCATGTGATTATGTATTATCCCTATTTCTTAAAGTTAGAGAACCTTTATCTTAGAATAATGGGGTCTGATTCCAACCAAACATTTTAGACCTCATTAAGGGTGACTTGATAAGTACATATGATTATATATTCAATAAATGTTACATCACTTCTCTCTGTATTGATTCCCTTTTGCAATTTTGTTAAAAATATTTCCAAGCATAAAACAATGAACACTAGACTAACCTTTAGAAAAACAATCACTGGGAAATAGGTCAGATAAAAACAAATAATCTGACTTTCAATTACCATATTTTCAATGAATGGATAACAACCGAAGGACCATGTCATTGCACCATCAGAAGATCTCAAGCTTCCTTCATAATTCTTAGAAAAATAAAACAGTACCAGAATCAAGGTTGGGTTTAAATATGAAGGATGAACCATATTTACCCAGCAATATGTACTTATTAAAATTCCCAGATAGTAGTTTCTACATTAAAATAGCAACACATGTCACTGTTACTTTGAATAAGAGTATAGTATGAGCTTTATTTTATTCCTCAATTTAAAGATCAGAAAATATTTTTTAGAAAAAAATATGTAACATATTCAAGTTAAATGAATTAAGGTTTTATCTTTCTTGGAGTCTGTATTTGGAGCCATGAATTGTGTTTCCATAATTATATTTGCTTATCCTGCTGTTCTCTGTAAGGCCTCAGTTTTGTTTGGTGTTTAAATCCTGAATAAAACACCTAGGAACATGTTTCCATTTTTCCATTTGCTGTATTTCCCTTTTAGGTGGAACGGCCACCAGACAGAGAGGCTTTCTGGGCTGCATTCGGTCTCTGCAGTTGAACGGGATGTCCCTGGATTTGGAAGAAAGAGCCCAGGTGACTCCAGAAGTGCAGCCAGGTTGTAGGGGACATTGCAGCAGCTATGGGAAGTTATGCCGCAATGGAGGGAAGTGCAGAGAAAGGCCCATTGGGTTCTTTTGTGACTGCACTTTCTCTGCATACACAGGGCCATTCTGCTCAAATGGTAAGTGTGGCATGGAGACTGTAGCAGAAAAGTGTATTCAATGTGACTTGAGTGTCTGTCAGTTCTGTCCTTTGCAGCTATTTGATCAGTTTCTGAATTTGTTTGGCAAAGTGTCTATTGAATATAAAGAATAGGTTAAAGATCCTGGTGTTGAGACAGTATCACATATTCAAAGATGAAGCCCATCATATTTCATTACTTAAATATTTGACTCATTTCTGAAAAACTAGTGTTTGTTAATGATAAATCCATTGTCACCTTATGTATTTTAAAGTGTTCAATCTACTTTTTTCCCACCTAATGTTTATGTTCTTAAATTATTTGGTTATTAACAACCTGCCCTGCTGGGCGCAGTGGCTCAAGCCTGTAATTCCAGTACTTTGGGAGGCCCAGGAGGGTGGATCACGAGGTCAAGAGATCGAGACCATCCTGGTCAACATGGTGAAACCCCGTCCCTACTTAAAATACAAAAAATTAGCTGGGCATGGTGGTGCGTGCCTGTAATCCCAGCTACTCAGGAGGCTGAGGCAGGAGAATTGCCTGAACCCAGGAGGCGGAGGTTGCGGTGAGCCGAGATTGCGCCATCGCACTCCAGCCTGGGTAACAGGAGCGAAACTCCGTCTCAAAAAAAAAAAAAAGAAAAACCAAAACCTGCCCCTTGGGGCAGTTCATTATTTTAAAATTATTTAAAAGCATTATTGTTTTTTTTTTTTTTTGAGACAGAGTCTTACTCTGTCGTTGTCACCCAGGTTGGAGTGCAGTGGCGTGATGTTGGACCACTGCAGCCTCCACTTCCCAGGTTCAAGCAATTCTCCTGCCTCAGCCTCCCAAGTAGCTGGGATTACAGGAGCCCACCACTACACCTGGCTAATTTTTGTATTTTTTGTAGAGATAGGGTTTCACCATGTTGCCCAGGCTGGTCTCAAATTCCTGATGAAAGACTGTAAATGTAACTGTACCTGGCCATGTTACTATTATTTTTGTTGAAGATATTCAACAAAGCAAGGATATTTAAGATGCATTATTTTTTATTTTTATTTGTTTGAGTTTTTAGACAAATATTTTTTCCAGAAACGTAAACAATGTACTATTAAATATTGATACATTTACATAAATAGACACATTTATACATTAATCATACATTTTGTTGTATGATATGTTGAATATCTGCTGGTAAAATAAAATACAGTACTTTTCAGCTTCTCATTCTCTGATACACATCGTGGAAGAAGGAAAGAACAATTGTAGGATTAAGTGTTCTAGAAAGACTTTTATGAATATATAAACATTTATTATTCTTTCATAGTTCCTCATAGAAAACTGACATCAATTTTACTTCACTTTATTTAAAGTGTCTCTTGGCTATTTAACCTTTTCTTGAAGCAGGCTAACAAAACTTGGCTCCAAATTAAAACAACTCCTGACTTACAAAGAAGCATGGGAATGAGTTAATAAAAAGTTGGCCAAATGCACTTTTCAAGACATCTGCTTTTCTGAGGAATAATCTATAATTTACAAATGAACTTGTGATCATAATCATATACTGCTGGTACCATGCTAGGACACTTTTCATCTTTAAAGTGATAATTAAGACCGCTTATTTAAAATAACCTGTCTTCATTTTCTGGATATAAATAATTTCCAGTTCATCTTGCTAAGTGCAACCAGAAATGTTATTCCTTATGAACATATTATATTGAATATAAAATATGCATTATAGATAATAAAATAATGAAGCCAACAAATAACCCCTAAAATGTCAAGGGAGTCATTACTGTATGATCCAGTAAGCATCACCTACAGCTTGTATGTAGTAACCAGCCCTTTTTTTAGTAATGGAGAAAAGCAGATTCAAGAATTTAAAACAAGTTATTTCTCCTACCATCCTCTTCATTTTCAAACATATATTTGGTGTGTGTGTGAGAGAGAGAGAAAGGAGAGAGACAGAATTTGGGACATTAATCTCATACAAGGAAAATGCTACACTTTTGTAAAATGATTTAAAAGAGGTTGGTTAGTTCTGTTTGTTGATCCTGCTTTTTCCTCTCATGTTAATACCAGACTTAGCTTTCTTTTTATAGTGTATAATAACTATGAGAAAATATTTAGACCTAAGGGAAAATTTCTGCCTGTCGGTCCTGGGAAAGAAGAGAGTCTCTCAAACGTCCTTCCTTCCTATTTTGTAGCTAGGATACCCCAGTCTTTTAAGATACACTTCATTTAAGACTAGTGTGTACTATCTACAAAATAATAGATGGGAGTTGAATTTTAAATTAAAAGGTAGATGATCAAGGAGATAGAAGACAAGCCTGGTTTGTGTTTGAACTCAGAGAAGATAGTGTTTAACTTTCAACTGTACAATTATACTACTGCATTAATCATATGTCATTTTAACAGAAAGCCATTTCAAAGATCATTATGAAAGCTCTATTAATTTACTTTATTATTCAATTCTAGTTTGGGGTTGTTTCTTCTTTCTATGCAATTTATTATTTAAAGCAACTAAAATATCAATTATTTTAACCAAAACAGGATCCTTGTAGTTAAACATTTTAACCAAAAATATACATGTTATTTCAGAGATTTCTGCATATTTTGGATCTGGCTCATCCGTGATCTACAATTTTCAAGAAAATTATCTTTTAAGTAAAAACTCCAGCTCCCATGCTGCTTCATTTCATGGTGATATGAAGCTGAGCTGAGAAATGATCAAATTTAGTTTCCGAACGACACGAACACCAAGCTTGCTGCTTTTTGTGAGCTCCTTTTACAAAGAATACCTTTCCATTATCATTGCCAAAAATGGTGAGTTCTTTTTAGATGAGAGAAAATTACGTTAGAACACTAGCTCTGTAATATGGATCTTTCTTGTGTTCTTGCTTCTCAAGCTACAAACAGAAAAACAGAGTGTGCCTGTTTCTGTATTTACATTTTTAGTAGTATCCTATAAGTCTAATCTAAAAGGATTATTTAAAATGATTAAGATGCCTTTATCTCTTTGTAATTTTGATACTTTTACATATGCAGTGTATTTTTATTTATGTAAAATGCTCATTATATTTTATTACCGTTAGTTCCTTGATTATTCCCTATGAATATCAATATTTGTTTTGTAGTTCATTTTGAAATTAGGTGTCTTGTTGCACCTAAGTATTTCCTGCAAATCAAAGCAAAGAAACATTGAAGGAATGTTAATAAACCAGCATAATGGATACGAATATGTCCACAAGATGATCTTTCTGTTGTACTTTTAGTCAAAAAATTGTCATGGTTAAAAAAATAGTATATCCATGCAGTGTTAAGGACATGTTTATTAGGAAATGTGTTTCCTACAGAAAACCATTGACTGCTGTTTTTCTGTTTTCTGTATATGGATTAAAAGTAAAACTTTTGGAAGTAAATTCTCGGGATAAGGAAAGTAAACATATAAACATGACTATATCATTTCAAGTAATTCAAGTATATCCCAAGGGCACTGAACACCAAAGTAAAAATAACATTATTCCTTAAGTGTATTTATCCTTCGTGTGCATTTTGAGCTTAACTTTTATTATATGTTAGGGCATTTTCTTTGTTAAATGGAAATATATCCTGTGAAATAAATTAATTGACATCTCCAGGCAATTAAATGAGTAGTACTAATTCTGATGGTAAATTTGGCTTAAAAGCATTCATCGGACCATTATTTCATTTCAAAGAGTATGACCATGACCTCTTGGGTGTATTTCTTATCTTTAGTAAAATTGCATTTTGCCTTTAATAACTTCATTAATTGTTATATTTCTGGAGTGTGAGATATATTATCTAAAGATTATAAAAACAGAATATTATTGCAATATTAAACAATTGTTTGGTATTTCAGGAACACTTAATATTATTTTTTAAGTAAGAGGCCAGTGCAGAGATTTGCATATGCTTAATCTGAGTTGATTTTTAGAGAAGTAAATTAAAGATTTGCAGGAAAGATAGTGCTTATGAGCAACATACTTGGTTGTGATTTTGAAAATACAGTACTGCAATTTCACTTGGAAACAGACTCTTAAGGATTATGATAAGAAGGTATCTTCCAATTTTTCCCTCAAAATGACTAACTAACAACGAAAATGTGACTCTGATTTTTAAGTAAGCCATTCTCACAGTACTATTTTTACTAAAAATATCACTATTTTCCCCCACTTTAGGAAGTTTACAGATCAGATACAAGCTAAATAGATCTCAAGAGCCTGATGTTGTTAACTTTGATTTTAAAAACATGGCTGATGGACAACTTCACCATATAATGATTAACAGAGAAGAAGGAGTGGTCTTTATAGAGGTAATATAGTAAATTCAGCAGAAGCAATCATTGTAATGACTCTCTAGCATGAAGGATCTCAACCAGAAATTTGATGAGCACAAGAAGCAGAGACACTTTGAGTGGTCTTCTTCTGTAGATAATAGACCATCAAATGTAGTCAGAACCTTTTTAAGCAATACAATTTTGTTCATTATATTATTAATGCTAGATAGTTACAATGTCAATCTTTTCTAACTTGTCTCTGCAAAGAAAGAAAATGATGTCATAGTGTACTACTTCTAGGACCGTTGCTACGCTGATGAAACCAGTTTACTTTAGATAAATGCAGTAATAAATTCTATCAGAAAATAATGATTGTAATGTCAGAATCATTTTCGTTAATGATGTGAGTCACAGCAAAGAAAGTGGAATTATTATTATTATTATGAGGCGGAGTTTCACTCTTGTTACCCAGGCTGGAGTGCAATGGTGCGATCTCGGCTCACCGCAACCTCCGCCTCCTGGGTTCAGGCAATTCTCCTGCCTCAGCCTCCTGAGTAGCTAGGATTACAGGCACACGCCACCATGCCCAGCTGATTTTTTTGTATTTTTGGTAGAGACGGGGTTTCACTATGTTGACCAGTATGGTCTCGATCTCTTGACCTCGTGATCCACCCACCTCGGCCTCCCAAAGTGCTGGGATTACAGGCTTGAGCCACCGCGCCCGGCAGAAAGTGGAATTATTAATGGAGCCAGTTTTTGAAGAAAAGCACTAATAATTTTTTGGTATCCTACACAGGATAGCTTAGCTGCCTACCTCAAATAAAAATACCAAGTAAAAGTCTTAAGGTGAAAAATAACCTTTTGTATATTCTTGTTAGCTTCATCAATTTTGGATTTCTTATATAGTGGAGACAAATAAAACTATATAAGGGGATAGAAGGTGGGGTGCACTGGTATCTGAGGGTATTATAGAAATAACATAGAAAAACCTAAATAATTACATTTTTAAAGTTTGTGTTTTTTTCTCAATGTGTGGGGCCATGCTAACAACTGCCTAATATATCTTTTTCTCTTGCCCTCCTTTGCTTCCTGTCTCCTCAACAAAATGCCATCCATTTGAATGCTTTTATCTCGTGTAATAATTTTGTAGATTGACGATAATACAAGGGGAGAAGTTCACCTGGCATCAGGCACAGAATTCAGTGCAGTCAAATCTCTGGTCCTGGGCAGGATTTTAGGTAAGTAAAAGAAACAACCTTTCCCCTAAAAATGGATCAGAAAAGTCTTATTACACACACACACAGACACACACACGGACTTCATCATACCAGAGGAAATCGCTTGCCTATTTTGATGATGAAGTGAGTGATAATCAAGGTAGAGGTATATACAGCCATGAATAGGGTCTTCCCACAGGAGGAAGAAGCATCTTCCTTTGATGGTAACATCACCTGGTCTCTTTCCTGCCTCAATACAGCATGATGAAATATGATACTATTCTCACATTTCAAAAATATTAAATAATAAAAAATAGTAAAGTATATATTGATCAGGTGCCAAATAGACAATCTTTCCTCTGATGACAAAACTAAGATTAGGTCTGAAAAATGGAAGAAGAATGCGATTGCGTTTCTTCTCGTTAGTTAATATGCTTCAGGTTATGATTTGGATTCTATTTGCCTTGCTGTGGTGTTGCCCTTGGCAGTCACATTTGCTCAGATGCAATCTAAATGCCTTATAATTCTTATTTATTTCTATCAGTTACCTTTAATTACAGCACTGGAGTAGAAGTGTAATGTTGCCATTTTAAGATCAGAATACGTTTACATTTTTACACTTGCCAACAAGGACTAAATTGAAAAGTAAATTTTAATAGATATTTTCTTTTCAGTTATACATAAATCATTAAGAGTATTGCAGTTTCATCTTATTTGTGGGGAGAGGACTTCTTGTAGCCTAATTTTTATTCCTAATCTGGTATTTGACGCTAGTCTGAAATATTTTGTCCAAGATTGCAAATGGAATTTTGTTTTTTGACCTTTGCAGTTATTTGTACATCAATTAATCATTCCTTATGTTCCCTGTACCTAATCTCAGAATCTTGAGAATGTTTGATTAAACCCATAGGTGAATGATCAAAATATTGGCCCTTGAGAAGGTTAATAGTTCAGCAAATAAATATTTATAGGCTTTCACGTACTATCATGAGCACCAAGATTATGTGTTCTTATTCTCCAGACAAACAGGGGAAATACCTTGAATTGTAATGTTCTTCCACTATCTATTGTGGACACAAAAAATATGTGCAAAGTACTTCTTAGATATTTGGAAGCTTAACTGAAAAATTCCAAGAGAGTCTCACAGTGTTATTATATAAATCCAACTATTTAAGACTGACATGTGTATCATTTACTCTAAGAATACAATATAACCAATAACATATTTAGCATGAAATGATTCCACTTTATTCTGTAGCTTTAAAGTTGATCCCAATCTTGCCCCTGATGTATAATTAACAGATAAGACAATGTTTACTCTAAAGTCTGAGCACATGAGTATTAGCTTTAGACTAAACTTCAGATGCAAAAACATAGCTAGGCTGTCCCTTTGTTTAAAACAAAAGAGTATATATTTAGTTATTTCGTATTTAGTACTGGGAAATATTTATAGCGATTTCAGACTACCCTAGAGGTAAGGACACTAGTGTCTAGGAGACTATTCAGCGCTGGGTATGTAACTGGCTCTGCCTGTTTACCTTTGGATATGTAATTAAGGTATTTCTGAACATTATTTTTTAAATAACCTTAGAGGACTTATTTCATTAATAGCTATGACACAGCTTAGGAAGCCGCAGAGAATTGTAAAAATCTAAACAAACAAGCAGCAACAAAAACAAAGCCTCAACAGTCTTAACTGTGGGGCCCATCTGCTTCCCTGTGGATTTCAGCCTTGAGGGAGGTATGTTGCAGGTAACTGGGGAAGGGATGAGAGCCCCAGAGAGACCCAGAATGAGGGAAAGATGTAGGGATTATAGGATGGAGCATCAGCCTCTGCAATGAGGCCGTCTGTCTGAAAACATCTTTGCTGAACATCAGGCTCATGGAAGACTCAGCTCCTTATTCTGTCCTCACTTAAGTCTACCTTTGCACATGACTATTATTATTCACAGAATTAAAAATATGTGCAACTATGATTTGGAAGAGTCCTCATCCCCCAAACTCTACATTAGTATATTAGATGACATTAATGAGTGGAATCATAAGCTAATACTGCATTCACAGATGTCAAGAAGAAATATTAGGTAGGTTTTCTGTGCAAGATATTATACCACTTTGAGTAGAAATACATTCAATATATTGTAAAACAATTGGAAAGCTGATTTACATACTATAAGGAGGATTGTATTAACCAAACAGGAGAATAAACTTCAACATATGAACGCTCATTTTCCTTTTTGTAAATAAATAAGGGAGATTCCTATTGAATTAAAGATGTTAAGGCTTTTACTCAAGAGTTACATATTATTCAGATATGTGTATCACATATGCTGAGAAGTAAAAGTCCAAATTGAGCAATGAACTTCATGGTCTAAGTCAACTCACTCTCCTAAAAGTACAAGTGATAATTTATTTAGCATATGCCTAAGGTATGGATCTTTACCAGGGACTAATCATTTATCATTCACAGAAAAAAAAAGGATAACTTATGGTCAAATTTTGTGTGGTATATGAATTTATAGTGAAAAGTTACATAGTATATCCTTATATTTTAATGCAGTACATTAATTTATAGTAAAATAGATCAACAAGATGGTTCAAAAGTAGAGTTACCTCAATGTGGTTTTGATTTGCATTTCTCTAATGACCAGTGATGATGAGCATTTTTTCATATGTTTGTTGGCCCCCTGTATGTCTTCTTTTGTAAAGTGTCTGTTCATATCCTTCGCCCATTTTTGAATGGGCTTGTTTGTAGCTCTGTTTTAGTTCTTTGTAAATTCTGGATATCAGTCCCTTGTCAGATGGGTAGACTGCAAACATTTTTTCCCATTCTGTTGGTTGCCGATTCACTCTACTGACTGTTTCTTTTGCCGTGCAGAAGCTGTGGAGTTTGATTAGGTCCCATTTGTCTATTTTGGCTTTTGTTGCCATTGCTTTTGGCATTTTGGTCATGAAGTCCTTGCCTACGCCTATGTTCTGAATGGTTTTGCCTAGATTTTCTTCTAGGGTTTTTATGGTGTTAGGTCTGATGTTTAAGTCTTTAATCCATCTCACACAAGTTAGAATGACGATCATTAAAAAATCTGGAGACAACAGATGCTGGAGAGGATGTGGAGAAATAGGAACACTTTTACACTGTTGGTGGGAGTGTAAATTAGTTCAACCATTGTGGAAGACAGTGTGGCGATTCCTCAGTGACCTAAAAATAGAAATCCCATTTGACCCAGCAATCTCATTACTGGGTATATATCCAAAGGATTATAAATCATTCTACTATAAGGACACATGCACACGAATGCTCATTGCAGCACTGTTTACAATAGCAAAGACCTGGAACCAATCCAAATGCCCATCGATGATAGACTGGATAGGGAAAATGTGGTACATATACACCATAGAATATTACGCAGCCATCAAAAACGATGAGTTCATGTCCTTTGTAGGGACATGGATGAACCTGGAAACCATCACTCTCAGCAAACTGACACAAGAGCAGAAGATCAAACACTGCATGTTCTCACTCATAGGCAGGTGTTGAACAATGAGAACACATGGACACAGGGAGGGGAACACTACACTCTGGGGTCCGTTGGGGAGAAATCGGGGAGGGATGGGGGGTGGGGAGGTGGGAAGAGATTGCATGGGGATAAATGACAGATACAGGTGAAGGGAAGGAAGGCAGCAAACCACACTGCCATGTGTGTACCTATGCAACAATCTTGCATGTTCTTCACATGAACCCCAAAACCTAAAATGCAATTTAAAAAAGTAGAGTTACTAGTTTTCCAAAGAGAATTGGTCTGCCTGAAAGTCACTTATTGTGTTAGACCAGGTCCTCCAAGAAACAGCTGTCAAGACAGGACTAAGAATGTGAGAACTTTATCAGGGGAAAAGTTCTGTAAGAGAAAAAGGGGAGGAGCTGGCTAAGGCATACCGGAACATTAGATGTCCATGATACTCTGTCTACAAGGGATGGAGAGAGAGATGGAAAATCAGACAGAAGCATGGACATGTCCTAGGCCAGTGTGTAGTCTAAGAAAGCTTTAACAAAATGTTTAGGGAGTCATTGAGTTAAAGTCACCCTCCAGAGGAGTCCCTTGTTTTCCAGGGATGAGCCTGCCTTATAATGCGTTAGGGTCCCTTGTTTGCCAGGGATGACCCACCATTAGTTGGGGACAGCCCATGGGAATCATAGCCTTCGTAAAAGCATGGGGATGGATCTTGGAGCCCAGCAGTTGGGACCCTTGGTCATGTAATCTTACTGTAGTTGGTGGTCTTTGGACCGCATTCTCATGTTTCCACACCTATCAAATATGCTTTGCATTTTTGTAAGCCCAGGTGACTCCTTGATTCATATATTAAATACATACCTTGTGGTCACCTATCATGTAAACAGAGAATGCCACTCAACAAGGTAGACATTATATCTGCCCTTACAGAGCTTATGGCAGTGGGGATTTAGATAATCATTATAACAAATGTCCCTTTGTATCTACATGAGTATAATGTGCACCAGTATTGCTTTAGACAAAATAGTCTCAAATTACCCTCCAAATTAAAATATATTAAAATGCTTCTACTATTTTTATAATTTCTGGATATTTCTTCTAAGGGAGTAACATATAAACATTGCCAATTTTTTTTTGGAGTTATAATTTGCCTACGCTTACAACAAAAGACTTAAGTATATGACTAGTCCATGCTTTTTCAGATGGAAACAGAGAAATTAAGGAAATACTTTCCCTCTCTTGACTTTTTCCAGTGCTCATTTCTGAAATGCAGAAAGGATTCTAAGGGTAATTTTGAATTGCTGCCACTGTTAAAAATGCTGCTAGCAGATATTGAGAAAGGTAGCTGAATTTTAAGAAACAACATCAAACTGTACTATGATGACATGGTAGCCATTTCTATCTACCTCTTACAATAAAAATTTAGAAGTGTTTAATAAGTCTGACAGTAATAATATATTGATAGTTTAGAGCTATGGTGGGAAGATCAAGGTTTCAGTTAAACAGCTCAGT